TCCTAGAGCAAATAGAGTGGACTTCCCATCATAAGCATTTTTCTGTCATCACTACATCCTTAAAGACCACTCATCCGTTGGACATCTGATTCTGCTGACCATTGCGAAACATCTTACAGCTGCTTGTCGCTGCTGAGGGGTTGTCTGTGCAGTTGGCTGTAGCCGGTGGAAGCGTGAGTCATTCGCTCGGCGCTTGCCAACGAATGGTGGGGGGGAGGAGGTCTTCCCTTGCTGCTCCCTTCGTATCACGACGCTTCCTGATTGCGCAGAGCCTCTCGCTGGCTCAGAAGGAGCGCGGGCGGCTTTCCCGGCTCTGTCAGCCGTCACACTGGCCATTTTGAAATTTGCACGCTTTTCCCTCGCAACAAGGGCAGAATCTGTGTGTGCAGCGGCGGCCATTTTGGAGGAACCTTTTCACAACCGCATGTAGCCAGTGTGAGAGAGAGGTGTCTACGGGGCTGCAGCGAACCAGGGAAGTGGTCTCCATTGCCTCTTGCTTGGAGTCGCTGTGATCGGAGGGCTGCCGTTCCTATGCCCCAGCAGCATTGTGGATCGCCGTCCGGGAGGTCAGAGACTTGTCTGGGGTGCCAACAAGTCGTGTTCTCCTGTGCCACACCAGCCAGAGGGCTGTGGACGGCCTGAGGAGGGGCCTAGTCCTGCGGCACCCCTCTCCTCCACGATCTGCAGGCACCAGTAGCCGGCTGGCTTGCGCCCTATCCAGCCTAGTGAATCAGCTCCTTGTTGCCTTTCCTTTGGCTGCACCACCATGCCAGACGGAGGTTTGCAGCTTCAAGCGGCCCAGTCAGGGCCCTCAGCCAAACGGCCAGGCTGGATCACCCGCCCAAAGGGGGGAAAGGGAGCAAGGGCTCTTCCAGTAGGCACCCCACAGGGCCTTCTGAGGGCAATGATCATAAGGACCCATCCCCGGAATGCAGAGAGGCACCCAATCCCACCCCAGGGCAGAGGCTTGAGCAGGGACCTGATTCCCCCAGGGCGAGCAGGTCACCGTCATCAGCAGGGGAGATATCCAGGGATCCCTCTCCTGCAGCTTCATGGGGTTACCCAGATTCCCCCAGTTCGTCCCTAAGGGAGGAACTGGCGCCCTCACAAATTTCTCTACCTTCTGATGAGGACTCTACCACCAGGGCCTACAGAAGCTGCAGGGATTCTAGTAAGGCCCACCACAGGGGGAGTAAAAAATCGGGCCTGTCCGCAGAGATGAAGGAGGTCATATCTCTGGCCATCTCTCAGGGCATTGCTGAGGGCATGAAATATCGTACTGGTAAAGAGGTCCCTTCCAAACCTACACATGGGTCCAAGCTGACCACTGAGCAGGCTCTGGCCTCCCCCAGCACCTTGGTGGCCACGGAGGAGTCTGCCCTGGAAGAGGGGGAGGGGGAGGACTTCCAGTTGTCGGAAGACGAGGACCTCCCTCTGGACAAACCAGCTTTCACCGGCCTTTTTAAGCCTTCTCTCTTTAAGTCCATCTTACATAAGGCGAAGGCGGCCACAGAGCTAGGGACCACTCCCAAGGGGTTCACTTCTGGGGCATCTGGCACCAGGGACCACAAAGAAAGTCTCTTTAAGGAATCAGCTTCGACACAGGAATTCATTCCAGTGCTGGAGCTCTTCATGGACGTGGTCCAGAGGCAGTGGATTCAGCCTGGGACCTTGACCAACCCGGTTGTGTGTGTGTGTGTGACAAGTCCTTATACACCGTTGAACCAAAAATGGAGGAAGCTCTAAAGCTACCTGAGGTAGACGCTCCGGTGGCATCTCTGACCTCTATCTCCAACCTGCCGGCAGACCTTCTAGAAGGCGGAGGATAAGAAGTCAGAGAAGGCGTGCCTTAAAACTCAGCAGGCAGCTGCCTGGGCCATTAGGGCCTCCACCTCTGCCTCGTTTTTCATAAGATCTTCTCTCCTCTGGCTGAGGCAATTGAGATCCAGTCCCCACCCTGGGGATCTCACTGGAGGCACGAATTGACAAAAATCATCACAGTAGTGGAGTATTCTGCTGATGCATCCTTAAATGCGGCAAAATTTGCATCCCGGGCACTGACTTCTAATGTTACCTCTCGCCGCATGCTCTGGCTTCGCCACTGGCAGGCGGAGATGAAGGCAAAGTGGAAGCTGGTGTCCTCTCCTTTTAAAGGGGGTCTCCTTTTCGGAGACGCCCTAGACAAATTCACCATTGAGACCAAGGACAAGAGAAAGATCCTTCCCGCAACCCTGAAGAAGGCTGACCACAAAGCATCTGGCTCCTTTCAGAGACAGTCCTTTCGGGCGCAGGACAACACCCAGCCTTCAACCTCTTCTTCCTACTATAGGTCCTACTCCCAGCAGGGCGATAGGGGTCAGGACCGAAGCTCCTTCGGAGCATGGGGTAGGCAGCAACACCACCAAGGCTCCTTTCGTGGTGGATCCAATTCCCAAAACTTCCGCAGGGGGAAGTGACCACCACAGGGATCCCCCCATAGGGGGTCAGCTGCAATTTTACGTGGACAGGTGGGGGGAGATAACCACAGACAGGTGGGTACTGAATACGGTCAGGAGGGGTTTCCTTCTGGAATTTCTGTCGTTTCCCCAAAGAACATTCATCCGCTGCCCTTCTCCCAGGAGTCCCCTGAAAAGGGAACTCACACAAGTGGAGATCCGCCATTTAGTCCAGATACGAGCCATAGAACCGGTCCCCAAGGAGCAGGGGAAACAGGGGTTTTACTCCATACTGTTTCTAGTGCCCAAAGCATCAGGGGGATGGAGGGCCATTCTCGATCTGAAGCGCCTAAAATATCAGAAGTTCAAAATGCAATCCCTTCACTCCATCTTGGATTGCGTAAGACGAGGCGATCTCCTCACCTCAATAGACTTAAAAGAGGCATATCTTCACATCCCCATCCATCCAGCCCACAGGAAGTTCCTGAGGTTCTTCTTTGAGGGGGAGCACTACCAATACCGAGCTCTCCCCTTCGGTCTGTCCTCAGCACCCAGGACATTCACGAAACTGTTGGCAGTGGTGGTGGCCCACCTCCGGAACCGCCAAGTTCGCCTGGAGTGTTATCTCGACGACATCATAATTCACTCCTTGAGCGGGGCCCAAGCCCGACGGGATGTCCGGATCACCATCAGAACACTCCAACAGCACGGCTTGTCAGTGAACCTAAAGAAAAGCCATCTGGAGCTGACTACGCAAATACAGCACCTGGGGGTTATCCTGGACTCGAACTCTTGTCAGGTTTTCCTTTTGCCAGAGCAGTTGAAGCCTCTTCGGGACAGAGTGCGCCTTTGCAGCGCGGCCAGGTCAGTACAGATTGTCCAGTTGTCTCAACTTCTGGGCATTATGATTTCCTGCCTGAAGGTAGTTCCCTGGGCTCGTCTCCACGCCAGGGAACTACAATGGTTCCTCCTACCTATGCA